TTCTTTCATCTACACCTCGTATCGAAAGTTAGGGATTGTGGGAGATTTTGGCACACTTTGGGGGAAAAACAATAATTTGCTAATTTTTAAATTCCTTTCTAAATATATCCGACTTCGAACCGATTTTTAATGGTTATAAGGTATAGCTACAGAAATCTTTTGGTCAGTGACCCATAATGGAATTTTTTGTAGATCATTTCTTCCCCCTTACGCCCCGCCTCTAAAATGGGAGATTGTGGGAGATTTTGGGTCTAATTTGGGGAAAACAGAAAATTGCTTAATTTTTTAAATTCCGTTTATATGTATCCAATTTCGAACCGATTTATATTTACTTTATACATAGTTAGAGAAATTTGTTGTCCGGAGACCCATAATGTAATCTTCTGTAGAATAGTTCTTCCCTTCACACCCCGCCTCTATAATGGGGGGTTATGGGAGATTTACCCTAATTGGGGGGAAACCATAATTTGCTTCATTTTTAAGTTATTTTCTTTTATATCGAAGTTTGATCCTATTTTTATATGATATGTAGTGTAGCTAGAGAAATTTCTTCGTCGGTGTCCCCTAGTGAAATTTTCTGTAGAATATTTCTTCCCTCTACACCCCGCCTCCATAATGGGGAATTATGGGAGTTTTCACCCTAATTTGGGGGAAACCATAATTTGTTTATTTTTTTTCTTTTCTAAATATATCCAACTTCAGGCCGATTTTTAATGGCTATCAAGTATAGGTAGAGAAATTTCGTGGTCGCTGACCCATAGTGGAATTTTCTGTAGAATATTTCTTCCCTTTACACCTCGCCTCTATAATGGGGAATTTTGAGAGATTTCACCCTAATTTGAGGGAAACCTTATTTTGCTTCATTTTTAGCTAATTTTCTTTATATATATACAACTTTGAGCCGACTGTTATTTGTTATAAAGTATCGCTAGAGAAATTTGCTGTTCGAAGACCCATGGTGGAATTTTCTCCAGAATATTTCTTCTCTTTACAGCACGCCTTTAGAATTAGGGATTGTGTAATTCGGGGAAAAGAAATAATAGAACATTTTTAAATTATTTTCTTCTATATCGAAGTTTAGTCCGATTTATACCCCTCCCCCTTCCCTTCTACTAATAAATATAACCCTTTCCCCCATGACAAACGAGCAACAAATTTTCCAATATCCTTGAAAAAAACAGGACAAATATTTACACCTTCCTTCAACCTACATTGGGCTTGACCTTTAGCCTTTGTCTATTTTACGTTCTGCCACAAACTGATGACAAGATGATGATAATAAATGGTGCTAAGTCATGGTCTTCAGTTTCGGTTTGTTAGTAGTCACAAAAAAGGACATTTATTGGGTGGACATCACCCCCACCCCCTCGCCTCGCCTTAAGTGTGCATTCCAAGGACTCTCATGCGTTTGGAAAAGCCATTCAACATATGGTCAAATCGATTAAATAAATCATTAGCATCTTTTGTAAAAACATAAAGGCAATAAAAAAGAAACACTTTTCCTTCCCCCAATCCCTGGTTTTTTATGGTCCGACATCCACACATGCCTTGTGAAATGTTATCCTTTTTATGAAGTGTTAAAAAAACAGTTTAGGTAAGGAATTCAATATTTATGGTCTATTAGAAACACATATCTACAGAGAGAGAGAGAGAGAAGAATACACAAGACAAATGGTCGGACAGACGGACGGACGGATGGGTGAACTTGCAAGGACACATTCGCAACAGGACTATAAGGAAGTACGGATGTTCTCCTTATCGTTTATGGGATGTTTTTTGGTGGTTTGCGTGTTGTGTTGCTTAAATGGTTTTTTAATATGAAAAGTGTGAAAATAAATATTCTTGAGCCCTTTCCTGTTTGTGCTCAACCACCCCTCTCTAACCCTTGCCATACTTGAGCAACAAGGATTCCCAAAAAAAATCCCTTTACTTTTATGGCATTTTAACACCAAAGAAATGTTCGAAATTAAACGTCTATTTATTTGCCGTTTCGTCCTGGACAAAATCGTGTCGTGTTTCAGGCAATTATTGAACCTTTTTTTCAGTCCTTTTGTGTGATTCCTGTGTCAGAACAAATTTTGAGGATATTTGTTTTATTCAAAGAAACTTTGGAGACGGCATCCCTTTTCTCTTGAAAGGAAACCCGTTAAGGACAAAAAAGAAGAGACAGTTAATAAGGCGACCAATATCTTAACAATGATGGTTAAAATTGTTGCCAAAATACTTGGCGTGTAACTGTCTAATAAATTTTCTTTTTCTATAAATATTCCCAAAAAATTGGGGAGAATAAATAAAAAAACACTCGAGTGACAAGAAATCCTTGGGAGACAACGAAAAAACGAAACGACAACTTTTTAATGGAAAACTGTTGAACCCTTTTCAACGAAGTAACCGAAAAGACAAAGAAAAAAAATATCCTTCAAACTTGTTTTTACCGCCGTAACCAAAAGTGACAATACATGTTTTATGGCCAAGAAAAAACACATCCAAACACAGCCACAATGAATTATTTTTCTTAATAAAATGTTAATTTATTATCACAAATCATTAAAGGATACCGTGAGGCTTGAAAATGAGATGGGGAAAAAGGGGAGGGTAATGGATTTAACACCTTTCACAATAAAAAAATGGAAATTGGCCAAAAAAAATCCGACAATTCCTCATTTAGAGGCAAGCTGTAAAGGGAAGAAACGATCTACAGAAAATTTCAATATGGGTCTTCGAACAATAAATTTCTCTAGCTATCCTATATAGTTACTAAAAATCGGGTCAAATATGGATATATTTAGAATATAAGGGAAATCACAATTTTCCTACAATTAGGCTAAAATCTTTCACAACCCCTCATATTAGAGGAGAGGTATTAAGGGAAGAAATGGTCTGCAGAAAATTCCACTATGGGTAACCGACTATGATATTTCTCCGGCTACACTATATAACAATTAAAAATCGGGTCAAAGTTAGATATATATGAAAGAAATTAAAAATAAGCAAATCATGGATTTTTCCCCAGTAGGCCCCAAATCTCCCACAACCCCACATATTAGAGGAGAGGTGTTGAGGTAAAAAATGTTCTACAGAAAATTCCACTATGAGTCACCGACCACGAAGTTTCTCTAGCTAAGCTATATAGCCCTTCAAAATTGGTTCAAAATTGCGTACATTTAAAAAAGGACGGAAAAATTAAGTCAATTATTGTTTCCCCCCAAATTGGGCAAAAATCTCCCCCATTCCCGCATGTATGAGACAAGGTGTAAAGGTAAGAAATATTCTACATAAAATTCCACTATGGGTCACCGACCACGAAATTTCTCTAGATACGCTATATAGCCCTTCAAAATTGGTTCAAAGTTGCGGTATATTAAAAAAGACGGAAAAATTAAGGCAATTATTGTTTTTCTTCAAATTGGGACAAAATCTCCCCCATACCCTCATTTGTGAGACAAGGTGTAATGGTAAGAAATATTCTACATAAAATTCCACTATGGGTCACCGAACACGAAGTTTCTCCAGCTACATTATATAACAATAAAAAATCGGGTCAAAATCAGATATATATGTAAGAAATTTAAAAATGAAGCAAATCATGACATGATCCCAAGTAAGGCCAAAAGAGAAGAAATATTCTACAGAAAATTTCACTTTGGGTCTACGAACAACAGACTTCTCTAGTTAGACTATATAACAATTAAAAATCTGCTCGAAGTTGGGTATATTAGAGAAGCATTTAAAAATGATGCAAATTATAGCTTTTCCCCGAAAAAACTCAAAACCTCCCACAATCCCTTACTTTTGAGGCGAGGTGTAAAGGGAAGAAATAATCTACAGAAAATTACACTATGGATCACCGACCACGAAGTTTCTCTATCTCTACTATATAACAATAAAAAATCGATTCGAAGTTGGATATATTTAGAGAAGGACTGACAAATGAAGTCAATTATTACATTCCTCAAAATTGCGCAAAATCTCCTATATTCCCCCAGGAATATAGGAGATTTATTACACTATGGGTCACCGACCACGAAATTTTTCTAGCTATGCTATATAGCCATTAAAAATCGGCTCGAAGTTGGGTATATTAGAAATGGATTTAAAAATTATGCAAATTATAGCCTACCCCCAAAATGGGGCCATAATCCCCCATTTTAAAGGCGAGGTGTAGGGGGAAAAATAATCTACAGGAAATTGCACTATGGGTCTCCGAACAACAGATTTCTCTAGCCGTGCTATATAACAATTAAAAATCGGCTCGAAGTTGAGTATATTAGAAAAGGATTTAAAAATGATGCAAATTATAGCTTTCCCCCAAATTGAGTCAAAATCTACAACTATCCCACATTTTGGAGGTGAGGTGTAAAGGGAAGAAATGTTCTACAGAAAATTCCACTATGGGTCACCGACCACGAAGTTTCTCTATCTCTACTATATAGCAATACAAAATTGAATCCAATTTGAAAATATATATAAATGAAGCATATTATCGGTTTTCTCCAAAATTAGGCGAAAATCTCTTCCAATCCCACATTTTAGAGGAGGGGTGGCAAGGAAGGAAATATTCTGCAGAAAATTTCACTATGGGTCCCCATACAACAAATTCCTATATTACTACTATAAAGCAATAAAAAATCGGTTCCAATTTGGATATTTATAAAAATGAAGCATATTTTCGGTTTTCTCCCAAATTAGGCGAAAATCTCCCACAATCCCACATTTTAGTGGAAAGGTGGCAAGGTAAGAAATATTCTGCAGAAAATTTCACTATGGGTCACCGACAACGACATTTCTCTAGCTACACAATATAACAATTAAAAATCGCTTTAAATTTGGAATATTTAAAAGCTAAGATAAACATAAAATAAAAATGAAAATTGGGTCCATGAGGGTCTCAGAATTCTTTTCCATATTTTCTCTTTAGTATTTATGTCATATCCTGAAAAATAACTATCCCAAAAAACTTCCAATATTTGTTTTCAAATGATAAGCTTTAGGAAAAAAAAATGACTGGTGACAATGCCGCCGCAGCAGCATCCAGTCAACCAGCCAACCAACAATCCATAACAAATAGTGTCACTTAAAAAAGAAAACGAGAACGTCCTGACTTTTTAAAATGTAGATATGCAAAAAAAATTTTTGTTTTAAGTTAGAAAAATTACAGGCAATTAATTTGCAATGTGACGAAAAAAGAACAAAAAAAATCCATGGCAAGCAGGCGACTACAAATCCGTATATGTGGAAATTTTTGGGAATACAAAAGTTGAGGGTAGTTAGGAGGGGTAGGAGAGGAGGATGATTTTTTTTAAGAAAAATGTTAATATAGACATTAATATTATGTTTAAAAAATGATTTTCAAACATTAAAAAAGAAAAAAATCGGATTTAAGCTAAATAAATGTTAAGTGATTTTTCCGTCCCCGATAAATAATGGCCCGAGCTTTTTTTTTTTTTTTTGGAAAATATCAAGGATAAAAATCATGAAAAAACACACAGGACCAATAGATTGAATGGATTTTTTTCGTATGACAGTGTATGACTTTGTCACCCACCCTGCCAACTACACACCAACCCTAAAAATCCTGAGGCTGCCCTGCGATTGGTTGATTTTGCTCAGCTGCCTTTTTTGCTTTCCTTTCCTTTTTTGTCAGGGTATCCTTGCTCATGACGAGGAGCCTAAATCAAAGCATATCGATTACAAATGATTTTCCAATCGTGGCCGTTTTGTGACCGGCGCACTTCGCCACCAATCAAGTGGAAATGAAAGGGTTGGTCCCAAAAAGGAGGGTGGGCATTTCAATCCTTTTTTGGCAAGGATAAAACCAATCCTCCCCCACCCTCCTTTCTTTTATATATGGTCTTTTACTTTTTCGTTGTAAATATGTAATATTTTAATTTGTCTTGTGTGGGAGGCCAATAATTCAAATGTCTTCTCTTTGGACCCCCCTCTCGCCCTCCCAAAAAAAATTAAAATTATGACCAAAGTAGTCGGAAAAAGTAATTAACAAAACATTAATTTTCTCGGCAACTTCTTACTCCTCCATCATCACAATAGAGAATTAATGTTTTCTAATATTACCCAAAAAAAAATCCGGTTCACGCCCGTTTCAGCTTTACCTACTCGGCTTCGTTCTTCTCATGTTCATCTCTGGGACATTTAAACGAAAAAGCCATAAAAATACCTTGTCATACTTAGTTTAGAATTTTATGGGGCCAGCAGCACAGCCAAAAACAGAGCCCTGGCACAAAAAACAACAACAAAAATAATATATGGCCCGGATAAAAATTATTAACACTTGCAAATCACCATTAGAGTGCCACTAGTCCTAGATGAGCCGTAGCACATTAAAAGAGGCCATAAGAGCTCAACATCCACTCACGCATCCAATGGTTTTCCACAATAGCAGAACTTCGGCAGATAATTATCCCCCACCTCATGATGCGGGAGTAACCCTTTACAAATGTGTTCCGAACGCTGTTAAATGTTTAAACAAAACCGTTTTACGGACCCACCCCCATCATGAGTGAGTGGCCAAAGTTTATGTTTAACCCAACACTAAAAATAACCAATGTTAGTTTTTCGGCACCTCCACGAAGTATGGATGAATGAATGGATGGAGGTTAGAATGTCAAAATATATGGCTTATGGTTAACAAAACTGTTGCAGATAAAACAATGAATGCGTGAATAGATGAATGAATGTATGAATTGTAAGCTAACACCAATAGTTCGGGGGAAGTTATTACCAACAAGTCCACACTAACAGTCTTGATTGAGAATATTAGAGAGGGAAAATTTTCGGAAATTTTCCAAAAAAAATCCTTTATTTGATAAAAAAGAGGAGCCTACAAAGCTCTTCTATCGTTAACGAAGTGATTCGGCTTCATAGATTATCAAACATGCTCTTCTGTGATTCCTTAAAAGTGCTTCCAATTCATGCAAAACGTATGCGAACCTATTATTTTTCATAGCGAACCATAACGTGAGTTCTCCTGAGCATCTTACGAAGTGGTTCCATTTCATTTTCGATGATTTCAGAAACTCCATGAAGTTTCCTGATTCATAGAAGACCGATTACATCTTACCACAGTCCTTGTCGAAGTTCTTCTGCTCTTTAGAATCCCTTACGAAGTAGTTCCGCTGCATTGAATATCAACAATGTTCTTCTGTGGGTGCTCCGAGGTGCTTCCAATCCATGCCAAAACTTAAGCGAACTGCTTATTTTTCATAGCAGACCAAAACTAAGTTCTTCTGAGCATCTTACGAAGTGGTTCCATTTCATTTTCGAAGGTTTCAGAAACTCCATGTAGTTTCCTGCTTCATAGAAGACCCCTACAAAGCCTTCGTAATCATTACATATTACCGCAACCATTATCGAAGTTCTTCAGCTCATTAGAATCCCTTACTAAGTAGTTCCGCTTCATTGAATATGGGTTCTTCGAAGTGCTTCCAATCCATGCCAAAACTTAAGCGAACTGCTCAATTTTCATAGCAAACCATAACTAATATTTCCTGAACATAGAACATCCTACGAAGTAGTCACATTTTCCTTTACGAAGGTTGGAGAAGCTCCATGAAGATAATTTATCTCCTTGAAAATGCCTACAAACCCTTCTGGAAGTGCTTCCAAGCTATGCAGGGTTTGTGTGATATTTTTCTTTTTTCCGCTACCCCTAACGAAGTTCTTCGGCTCATTAGAAACCCTTAGTAAGTAGTTCCGCTTCATAGAAGGTCAATAATGATCTTCTTTGGGTGCCTCGAAGTGCTTTTAATCCATGCCAAAACTTAAGCGAACTGCTTACTTTTCACATCGAACCATAACCAAGTTCTTCTGTGCAAAGAATTTCTTACGAAATACCTACAAAGATCTTCTGTCCCGAAAAAGACCCCTTACGAAGTCATTACAATCTAGACAACCATTACGTAATGTCAAAATATATTCTCACCAGGCCTTAAGGAGGCCTAATCTTTCACTGGAACACAATACGAATAAAGCACCGAAGAATCCGCAGGAGATCTTAATAAAATTGTTCTGCACCCTCGGGAGAACTCTACAAAGGTCACTCAATCTTCTACAAACCTATTCTATGTAAAGAAAAATTTCGGAAGTAATTCTTCATCTCCTTGCTATATAGCAGACATTTACGGAACTTCTACATTTCAAGGTGAGCCTTCCGAAACTCCATCTGGCTCATCGAAGACCTCTACGAAGCTATTATACCTCTTCGAAGATCCTATAACTTATACATTTTATTTCGAATTCGATCAGATTCCTCTAATGTTCTGTTGAAGTCCTTTAGAGTGCCTTTTCTTATATTCTCTTTAACGTAGCGGATTTTTAAGAAGCTTTTGTGTTCCATAGAAGTTCTCTAGGAAGCTATTTTATTTAATTAAATGCCTCTACGAAGTCCTTGTAATCCCTAAAAGACAGTTTGAGGCCTTCTACCTCTATCTGCTGCCCAGCAGACCTCTACGAATCTAATCTATCCATATTCTACCTATAGAAGTCCGAAAAAAATTATCATGCCCAACAAAACTCCATTATGAACCTCCTCTTGAGCTCTTCACTACTTTGCAGAATTTTATAGAGCTCTTGAGTTATATAGTAGACCTTTCGAAGTTCATCTACCTCATCAAAGCCTTCTTCGAAGTTACAATATTACCACTTCGAAGATTCTATACTCTATAGATGAGATTTCGAAGTCGATCTCTATAATGATCCGTAAAAGACCTTTAGAGAACATTTTCTCTTATTCTCTCCAACCTAGCCAACCCTTAACGATTCTCTTGTGTTCCATAGAAGGTCTCTATGTAGCTATTTTATTTCATTAAATACCTCTACGAAGTCCTCCTCCAGAGATCAACTTATTTTTTCCACCACTTCTCCGCCATAGCTAGGGGAGAGATTTTTTTACTTCAGCGAAGTTCCTTTCGAAGGGATTCTATTTCCCGGAAGTCTTTTAAAGAATTTCTAGCCGAATAAATTCTACTTCACCGAAGTCCTTTCCTTCTATTCTTTAAAAGTCCGATCTTCATTGGCCGATTCAATGACATTCTGAACATGATTTAAAAACGTAACTATTTCCTTGCCCCCACACTGTTATCGTTTTCAATGTGGGAAAATGAAAACTAAGCCCAATATTTATGGCATTTCGGCTTGTATTTCGAACGGGAGACAAACTACCGAACAGAAGCCGAAGCAAACGCCAACAAACATAAAATTTATGAAGCCCTTTCGCTAGGCATTTAAAAGGGTTCAAAATGTATTATTGTCACCCCATTATTCAAACAACGTTTACTGCCCCGCAGAAACACTTGAGTGCGGCTCTCAACATTATTGGATGGCCATCCTTTCCCCACCCCCCTCCAACCATCTACTATCCTCATCCAAAATGGAACGGAGTCATTCGTTTTATTATTTTGTTTGTTTAACGTAACACCACAGCTAACTGCTACTAGTTTTTGGCATCAATAACATTTCCCTTCGAATGGCCTTTAGTATTCCTGCAGCTGGGAGGAGGAAACCTACATATGGTCGCATCGCATCCTCATCATTATCATCGCCATCATCCTGATAATATTCACGTACTCAATAAAAGTCGTAATACACCAAAATGACAACGAAGTGTACGTAATTTTTGGTGGCCTAACCTTATGAGGGCATACGAAGACCTCCCATACTTGATAATGGGCAATAATTTTTTTTTTCGGGAGGACAGTGGTTAGAAAATAATGCAAGAGACATTTAAACCTTCCTGAAGGTATGCTATATAATAGAAGGGTTTTCGATTGGTTACGTATGCCAAGTTCGATTGCCTTATATACACCGCAGAACTAGGAAAACATTTCATGGCCTTCACAACATTCGGACGAATTCTCATTTACAAAAGACTTCTTTGGAGGCCTTCTATCCCTCTAAAAATAATTCCGAATAAATCTTTCGCAAGGATTTCGATTCCATAGAAGGGTAGCATCACGCTTTAGAAAGCCTTCCAAAGACCATAGAAGACCTTTCCGAGGCCCTTATATATCGAAGAAGATTTTATCAAAGTCATTTCAACCAGAAATCATTTCCG